TTTCATCAATGTTATCAATGCTTTTATCAATATAATGTTCTGCAATACTGGATCCTGCATGATGCCTATAAAATGAAAAAGGTTGAACTTTTTCGCCAAAAGCTAATTTAGCTAAGTCGTATTGATCTTTAGGAGTAGTAGCAGGAACGTTGCAAAAAGATATATTAAAAAAGTGTGCAATCGCATCTTTATGGTTGCAAAAAGCACCCAATCTACAAAAAGCTGCAAAATTCTGTTGCTATATCGACATAGTAAAGCACACTATTATTTTGTTCATTGGGAACTTTGTATAAATTTTTAGATAATTTATTTAATTCTTTATATTTTAAATATTTAACTTTTTCTAATTACCTTTTAAAGAGTAATTTTGGAGCTGAATCTCTACTATTTGCAAAATTTTGAAGCCGTCTTCTATAATATTGTTCTAAGACAGTACAGCTAAAGTCTATTAAAGCAATAACATTATGAACTCTGTTTTTATGTGCTTAAAAAGCCTTACTGTTATTTCACTAAAATTGTTGGTTTGGTGGCCATGTGTTGATGCCTCCGTGTAAGCGAGGCACCAATCTTCCTGTCTTTTCCAATATTAAGTAATATATTTCTTCCACTGCGATTTTTTTTCGCATTTGTAGCTCTCCAACTTGAAAAATAAATACTTTTATATTCATTTAGCCATTTATATATGTCTTCTTCATTTCTAATCTACTCTGTATCTATTTTCATTAATAACACTGTATTTAAACCTTTTTGGCAAATCCATTATGTTAATAAACAAAGATCTAAACAGCACATGCAATTCTTTAAAAATGCCGCGAAGGCGAAACCTTCATACAAATGTATGAAATGTAGTAAAAGAAAGAAATGATGTCTTGCTAATATATACCATTCCATATATGAATTTCGCACCAAAGTAACATTCCATATACGTGTTTGGCACCTCGTCGCCTATTAGTTGACACATGCCCACGTGCTGCAAAGAACCAATAGAAAAGTCCTAGGTGCCAAATACATATACGGAATGTTTAGATGCATACCGAAAGTCGTAACAGTTTCTATAAATTCACACTAGGTGATTGGAACACTGTTTGGACAACCCCCGTTAGATCCAATACCTAAGGTACAACGTCAGGGCAAAAAACGAAAGGATTCAGTTTACTATTGTCTTCAGTGCCCAGATGACTCTGGACTTTGTCTCATACCATGCTTTAGAATATTCCATGCAAACAAGTAATGTATTTATTGTTTATTTTAAGGTCAAATTAAATTGTGCTCACATGACTCTGGACTTTGTCTCATACCATGCTTTAGAATATTCCATGCAAACAAATAATGTATTTTATTGTTTATTTTAAGGTCAAATTATATTGTTCGGCAGTTTTATTTGTTTTTGTGTTTATGTAAATTTATATTTTAGAGCTTTATACAATAAATAAATATCAATTTTCTTCTAAGATTGCTATGAACGCGTCTAGCGTGTGTATGGGCACCGAGAATGAAAGATAATAATAATTAACTTTTGCCCATAACGCGCCTAGCGTGTTTTATATTTAATTTGCGTACAACTATCTGAGATGTTGAGTTACATTCATTGAAATCACAATTCACTCATATAATAGTATAAGAAAAATTCACATGGCACCCAGTCAGGCCCGTTCCTAGGGTAGTGAGCGCCTGCGTGCAGGATTTTTTGTGCGCCCCATATTATGTTTTTAAGATACCTATATCATAACATGTTCTTGTGATATGATTGAAAATATGATATGAATGTAAAAAGAAAAATAAAACGAATCATGTTTGAAAAAAGGTTTTATTTTCAAAATTAAATGAGGAAAAAGGTCATTTTAAAACAATATTATTATGTAAGTTAACAGTAAGAAAGAAAACACTCAATTCGCAAATTAATAAGGCATTCTGGAATATAACATGAAACAATAACGGAAATGAGATACTCTCAATGCAAAAAACTTTTGTTTACCAAGTAAAAAATAAAACAAATATTGGAATTACAACATGACACGTCGTGCTTTCACAGATGCAAGCTCATTAATCATTTCATTGTGATCAATGGCTTCACAAATTTTATTTTCAATTGAAATGACTGCCAAATCTGATAGCCTTTCTTGGCACATTGACGTTCTTAAATAATTTTTTATTAGCTTTAGCTTTGAAAAACTCCTTTCGCCAGATGCCACCGAAATTGGAAGGGTCAGGAATATTCTCAAGGCTATAAATAGATTTGGAAACAAGGATTGTAAATTTTTCTTGGTTATATAATTTAAAATATCTATGGGCGAATCCGAAATTTTGCCAGAGTCTGTGATTGGGTTAAGAACTTTGTATGACAGAATTTCATTATGCAAATCAAGACCATCAATATCTTTGCATACGTTTCCTGCATGTTGAATTTGTAAAGCTAAATCCAAATCCATACATGATCTTTTAATCACATCAGAATCTAGATTTTGAAAATTACCCAAAAATCCAAATAAATCGTGTAACTTATCTATTCCCCCAAAGCGTCTTTGTAGGGATTGAATTGTGTCCAAAATTTGAAAATAAAAACTGATCTTAAATTTTTGTTTTGGATCGAATACTGTTTCATCTGTACCTTCATACGAAAATTGAAGCTTCGTCTTTCTTTGTCTTAATAATGGAAATGTTTGCTCTACATCACTTTTTTCTGCTTCTGCTACAGCCTCATTCATGAAAATCTCGAAATGTTTGTCTAACCTTTTTTCAGTGAAATAAATAATAAGATTTTTTATTTCTGTGTGGCATTCATTTTAAAGTTGTATTTGGATTCTGGACCATTTTACTTACTATATTAATTTTTGTTAACACATCATGCCAAATTATAATAGAAAAAATGAATTTGAACGTTTTAGTTTTGTCTAATAGTGACCTTGCTGAATGTTTCGTGTTCATATCTCTTGAATTATCTTCCACCAAATCATGTAAATTTTTCTACATTTCGAGGAATTGAAACCTAAGAGGGCGAATGGCTTTAACTCTGCTTTCTCATCGTGTTTCACTTACTGATTTTAAAGTTAAGTTTGGTACATTCCTTTTTAAAATGCCCCATCTGTAGGGTGAATAATTGAAAAAAAATTGAACAACTCCTGAATAATTGAAAAAAAACCTGCAGTTTCACATGAAATTTTAGCTGCATCATTGACACTTAAATTAAAAGTGTGAGCTAAACAAGGCAAAAACATTGCTCTGGGATTAATTTTTAGAATCTGAGCTTGAAGGCCCACATGCTTACCAGACATATTTGCCCCATTGTCGTAACCCTGACCTCTCATATTATCAAGGTTTATTTCAAATTTTGATAATATTTCTTCTTTTAAAAAATTGAAAAGCCCTTCTCCTGTAGTATTTAAAACTTTGAAAAAACCCAGAAAGGGTTCTCTAATTTCGACTTCATATGGAGAACAATAAACGAAGCGAATTATGACCGTCAGCTGCTCAACATCGCTACAACTGGAGATTCATCCAAAATAATTGAGTAATATTTTGCTGTTCTGGGCAGAAATTAAACAGGTAATCAATTTTTATCTGAAAATCAGAACAGTCACAAAAGGTGAACTTTCCAACTCTCAAAAATGTCATAAGTGATGTTTTACGTATATGGTTGTAAATAATAGTATATTATATACATTCACAATATATAATATTATACACTGAGTTGAAGTGTTTAATTCTTAACAAGAGAAAAACATGGTTTACCGAGGCGTATAGCGTCGAGACAGGAATGAAATTTTTTCACCGAGGTTTGTATAGTTACTGTTTTATTCAGAACCATATCTTTTAAATGCAAATTAAAAAAAAATCTAATAAAATTTAAACAAACATTTTGGTTATTCGTAGGATGTTAAAATTTACCTGGGTGGAAAATTAATGTCATACACTTTTCATCCGGGTAAATGTCACTTTCCTCCTGGATAGATTTTAAAACTAAAAATTTGGTTTTCCAAACTTTTATAAAAGGTCTTCAATGTCAACATAACATACATGGTTGTAAATAAACATTGATACTTAACTGACCCGAAGAATAATTTTAAGGTTCTTAAACTGTTAAATTTTACTACTTTACTTTACTTTTTATTTTATTTAAATAAATAAGTTAACTTATTTTACTTACTTTAAGCAGTTTATTTGCCGCCTTAAAATTACAATTTACAATAAACTTTAATGGCAATGATATTGCGAACAGAACATCCTAATCCATAAGACAAAATCTAACGACTGAATTAAAACGTTATGGTTTGCTGCGCAAACGACAAGTTCGTCAGAGGCGGGCGCATCGCGCAACTTTTCTTAAGACAACCACGCGGGCGGCATGCCGGCAACACAAAACATTAAAAGTGAGTGGCGTGCGGCATTAGATGGCGCGTCGTATGCTGACACTAATAAAATTGTAGGTTGGTAATTTAATTAGTAATTTTGGTATTATAATAGTGAATGGCAAACGGATGAAGTGATTGCTTTAGCGCTTACCGGGGAAATACTGAACACTGACTTTTTTTTGTTTTAGAAGTAAGAATATTTTTGTAACGGTAACCAAATATTTGGCGCCCCTAAAATTTAGCGCCTGCGTGCGGGGCATTCATTGCATACCCGCCAGGAACGGCCCTGCACCCAGTGTCATTTTTCGCACGGGTAGTGAATGTGTTCGAGTAGCAACCGCTACAAAATACGTCCTGGTATTAAATTTTCTTTAATTTATGTAGGTAAGAATTTGTTTAGGTGAGATAGAACAGAATATTGTTCATATAGATAATTGGAAAAATAAGTAAATCACTAATCCTTTTTTAGTATAAAATAAGTAAGCATCAATATTAATATTTGAAATCAAGACTTATAGCGCTGTTATATTTTGAACAAAAAAGACGAAAATAACAGTCACAAATTTTATTATTTTATTATCACTGATGATCATGATGTCACCTAAACTAACAAACGATAAGGTGATAACGTTTGTTAAAAGAATATGTATACAATTTTGTAGTTTTATAAGTGCATCTAAAATGTTTGTTCTGCTGTTAATAACTGTGATATTTCAGCCTATTATGAGTAAGTTAATATTTTATGGTGTTTAATAAAGACACTACTAGTTGTAATATGTTTAGTACTATATACAGGATTAGCAAATAAATGTTTGTATTTTGTTTGTATGTAAGTATTCACATACGTTTCTAAAAAAATTAGATATATAAATATAAAACCAAAGAATATAAACTTTGATAAAACTTAAAAATAACCTCAACCAGAAATGACTTAACTCTAAAATACAAATAACTTCACCATTTAAGTACCAACTAGGATCCTAACTTCCATCTCTATAAAAAAATAAAGAATCAGCGAACCACCAAAGACAAATGGGATGTCGATGAAAATGAAAATTTCATATTTGATACTCAACAGAAACAAGATGGAAACAATATAAAGAAGAACTATTTTATAAAAGATGGATAAACAAAGTATATTAGGAAACATCGGTTACAACAGAGTAGGCGATAAATGTCATAAAGGTAGTCAAAATAGGAAAAGCTGTCGGTTCAAATACAATAATGGCAAAAGATATAAAACTTCAAACTTATCGAAAAAATTCTTTGACTGCGCTCTTTAAATATATATATATATATATATATATATATATAATATATATATATATATATATATATATATATATATATATATATATATATTATACTATTTATATTATATATAAACAAAACAGTTTATTAGGGTTGCAGTCAAAAAATTGGCCAGGATGTTAAAAAAATACACTCTTTTGACACTAACTTTCGGAATGATATTATTCCTTTTTCAAGACTAGTTGTTGAAATTATTTATAAAAGCATTGACACTCAACATTGATAACACACATATAAAATCTAAAAAAAATGGACAAATACATTGTAAAATTTTTAAAATTTTGGGTATAGATAGTGAAACTTAGATTATGTACACACAAATATATATATATATATAATATATATATATATATATATATATATATATATATATATAAATATTTATTGATTTGTAGTCTTTGAAACATATAAATATTTATATATATCTATATATCTATTTATTTATTATATATATATATATATATATATATATATATATATATATATATATAAATATATATACATATATATAGACACAAATATTTTACTATTTTACATCAGTGATAGAATAGAAGTATTGTATAATATTACATCGTTCTTGTTAACATATTGTAACATTTTTTTGTAACTTTTATTGTATTTATTTAATGTATTTTGTAACACCTCAACATATGCATATATATATATATATATATATATATATATATATATATATATATATATATATATATATTGTTAAAATTCTAAAATAGATCGAAAATAAAATAAATAAATTTTTATTTTAAAAATACCATATAATAAATATTCATGACCCTGTATAGGTTAAAAATTCATAAATATAATGTGTTATTTGTAATAAGTATTTTCGGAGAAGAGTGGATTTAAAACAGTGAATTGTTTCTCTTAGAAAGTATGAAAGTATTAATTACTATTTAAATGGGAATAAGCCACAATTAAAGGTAAAAATTCGTTTATTGACGTTTCAATTTCCACTTCGGAAATCGTTCTCAAAATACAAACAGTAAATTAAACAAATTTTGTTTTTTTGTTACTTAGTGAAAAATTCTTTTAATAATTTAATTTTATCTGACTCATTTATATTGACAATTCAGACATACATTATGCATTTTAAAGTAGATGACTTTAAAATGATATTGCCAATATTGTTGAGTTGAGCTCCTGGGACGACTTTACTTTAAGATATTTCATTCGATTACATGAAATCATCTTTAACTTCAGAATATTTGTCGGAACAAATCATAGCGTGTAATTTGGCTTTAAAAAGACAAACACATGACATGATGACAGTAAAATTCTCCTGTTAGTGATTCCATAGTAAATTATGAGGGAAAAACCAAGAAAAAAACCTCATAAAACTATCCCGACTTATAAGTATTTGGACGTGTATTTAGTTTACCTTCAATAAACACCAAATTCTGATTTTATATGTTTCGTTATTTAAAAAACATAAATGATGTATCCTCTATATGTTACTGACTTACTAATACTGGTATTTTCTTATTAATAACTTCCTCTTTCAATATTGGTAAGCAGATCCTACTACATTTTGCCGAGGAATTTGCGACACAATTGGTCTCATTTAGCATAATTAGAGCCGCTTCTTTGATTTTTCTTTTTTTACTATTCGTTTCTTTTAGGACTACATTTGAATTATTTCATTGAACCCTATGTTCATTATCCCATGCGTGTTTACTTATTTGAGATCTATCAAATTCTCTATTTTTAATATAAGATTGATGTTCACTTATTCTAACATTTAATGGCCTTGATGTTTCACCTAAGTAAAGCTGATCGCATTCACAAGGTATTTTATAAATGCAATTCTTTGTCCTTTCTTGTTCATTGTTAAGTTTGGTTTTGGACAAAATAGATCTCAACGTGTTTGTTGTTTTGAATGTTGTTGAAATGTTGGATTTATTTCCTATCCTTTTAAGTTTTTCTGATAATCCTTTTATGTACGGTATTGTTATTTTCCTCGTATTATTCCTTGTGTATGCTGTAGGATCTCGTTCTAAGTTGTTCTGTTGTATTTGATCGATTGTTGAAAATTCCTTATTTATAAACAAAAAATAATAATCATTTTTTAATAAAACAGATGTTAACAAATGTTTCTTCTCCAAAAACGAATTTTCGTTGGAACAAGTAATTTTGCATCTATCGTATAAGGATTTAATGATTCCCTTTTTAATATTAATATTGTGATTTGATTTGAAATTTAAATATCTATTGGTGTGTGTTGGTTTTCTATAAACCTGAGTCTCATATTCAGTATCGTTCTTAGAGATTAAAACATCCAGGAAAGGTACCGTGTTATTATATTCCGTTTCCATGGTAAATGTTATTGTCTCTTCTTTATCGTTTATGTCATTTAGGTATGTGTCCAACAACTCTGATCCATGAGACCATATAGAAAATACATCATCTACATACCTCCACCATACTGTGGGTTTTAAATTTTGTTTAGAAATGATATTTGTTTCAAATCTTCCATAAATATATCGGCTAATAATGGAGATAAACTAGAGCCCATTGCTAGACCAAAATGTTGTTTATAGAATTCATTATTTAGTTGAAAATATGTATTATCAGTACATAATGTTAATAACTCCATTATAGCCGATATGTTTAGTCTTGTTCCAAAGTGGAAATCGAAACGTCAATAAACATATTTTTACCTTTAATTGTGACTTATTCCCAGTTAAATAGTAATTAGTTTAAAATGCCACAAGAAAATTGCTTCAGAACAATATGTTTAAAATTTTTACAAATAATTATACATGGTTTTGTAGCAGATACATTGTATATTTTATTATCTTTTATTTTGTAATAATTTTTTTTATTTGTCCATAAAATTGTACAAGAATTTAAAATTAATGTTAGATATATATAATGGGTTGTATATTATTTTCTTTGACGGTAATGCTATGAACAAATGTTATCTTTTACAAAGAAGCATTTGCGTGTAGCAAAACAAAAGAACGCTTAGTCGATATCATATTCTGTTAATTGGGGGAAAACCAATTACAGTAAATACGCTTGATTTCTTGAAATTTAAAATTAGGAAAATTTTGGAAGTTTGGTAGTGGGATGACTTTATATGTATGAATGTTGATTGGCTAGAAAGTAGTAGGGGAGGAGAATCGAACAGTCGACTTGAAAATTGAACCAGGAGATTTGAATCATTGTGTTTTTAAGATCGAAAACGTGAAGTCCACTTTAAGAACAATGTGTGAAATAATTATTTTGTTTCTAACAGACAGAACAAGAAGTCCAGTTTGAGAACAGTGCGTGATATAGAAGTATAAGTTTTTGTGTGTGAGTTTAAGTTTATGAGCAGAATAGTTGTAGACGAATCGAGACCCAGGTCGAGAATCTCAAACTTGTTATGTCCGAAGAAACTCCTAAATTTGCAAGAAAAGGAAAAAAGGTATGTGTATAAAGTTTATACAAGATATCCATTAGAGGAGAGAGACGTAATTTGTGGAAAGAGTCAAACTATTATTATTGTGAAACGAGTCGGAGGTGTTTTCTTTTTAATTTGAAGAGAAACTGAACGAGTGCTGTTTTTGGTGTAACAGTCTTTGGAGGGAGGAAGCAGAGCCATACGTGTTTTGAAAAATTAGACAGCATTTCGGGAACACGAAGTCAGTATCCGTTGGGAGACATCACAGAAACAAGATAAAGAAGGTCAGTCAATTTGTTTGTAAAATAAGCGTTGTATGTACACCATATATTTTATATAAACTCATATCATAAAGCAATTCTTAAAAAAGAATTCAATTCATAACTAATGAAATTTGTATACAATAAAATTTGTTTTTTTAAGAAAGTTAATTAAAACAATTTTGTAGTAAATTAAATAAATTGGTTTTCAAAGGAAAATAGATAGAATTAAGTTTTTTTTTTGCTGCGAGGAATAGATAATTCAGTGTATACAATTTTTAGGTTGATAGTTCTATATGGTATTAAAATAAATGGTGATTGTTTTAGAAGGTTATAAATTGTGTTATAATATTTATTCACTTTGTCTATCCCAAAGAAAGCCAGCATCCAGAAAATACTAGAAGCCACGAATTTGTGAGAAACGGAAAATGGACGATTCAGATAAAGAACAAGCGGATTAATTTGGCAACGAAACAGGGACAAAGAAGAAAGAGAAGAAAGCCGCAGAAAAGGTAGAAGAAAATAAAACATGGAATTTCTCAAAAGATGAGATGAGCCCAGAAGAAGAAAAAAGAAAGGAAGAGGAAAATAAAACATGGGATTCCTCAAAAGATAAGATGGGCTCAGAAGAAGAAGAAGAAAAAAGGATAGAAGAAACTAAAGCTTGGCATTCCTCATATAAGACGAACCCAGAAGAAGAAAGAAAGGAAGAAGAAAATGAAACATGGGATTCTTTAAAAGAAGAGATGAGCC